ATAGCCTCTTTGCATGAATCAAATGACTGTATTTTGGATTATTAAATGTTTCATTAAGAAAGAAAAGTCAGTCTTATTTGAAGGGCTGATAATTATACATTTGCTTTATATTCTTTTTTTTTTTTTTTTTTTTTTTTTTTGGTTTTTTTTCGAGACAGGGTTTCTCTGTGTAGCTTTGCGCCTTTCCTGGAACTCACTTGGTAGCCCAGGCTGGCCTCGAACTCACAGAGATCCGCCTGGCTCTGCCTCCCGAGTGCTGGGATTAAAGGCGTGCGCCACCACCACCCGGCTGCTTTATATTCTTGCATACACTTTTTGTTGTTGTTGTTGTTGTTTTTGGTGTTTTGAGACAGGGTCTCTCTATGTAGCTCTGGCTATCTTGGAACACACAGATATCCTCCTGCCTCTGCCTCCAAAGTACCGGGATTTAAAGGCATGCGCCAACACTGCCCAGCTTTGTACACACATCTTTAGTGTCTGCTGAACATGAATGACAGTTGCCATGACAAAAACATTTGTGTGGTTGACTGCAAGAGTCCAAGGTGATGTTTCTAGTCTCCTCATAGAATCATTTTTATTGGAAGAGCAGCAGGCAAGCCAAGGTTACCAGATTTGACATTTGCCAGACATTTTCTCAAAAGCAATGAAAGTAAGCCTGCCACTTCAAAGAAAACAATAGGTGGTATTTGCTGACAATAAAATTTGAGCTTCCAAATGAAAATTGAAAGTTTGGATTGTTGATATTTGCCATTGTGAATTTGAGATTCTTCAATGCTTTAAATTTTTTCCATTGGGTTGGTGGTAACATTTATTATTCTGAGTTTTTTTGTGTTATATACTTAGTGGTTTCATATTTAAAAGTCCCACAGAACTAGTGAGCCCAAATTTTCCAAGCAACCAATGCATAGCATTATAAAATCACATATGGGTACCATTTTAGAGTGTGAGCAAGACCAACAGACTTTTACGTGAGACCATGAACATTTCATGGATGCGTTCTCAGATTCCACACTGCAAATGATGTTTAAGCAACAGCCAGTTGTCAGATTTTGATATGACATCAAAGAAAAATAACTCAACTTTCTGAAAAGAAAACCAAAAGCCATTGAAATGTTCCACCCCTCCCCATCTGCCTGTCTGTGTGAAGCTGGGTCATCATTTGCTTCAGAATAACATTTGCCACAGACTGATCCAGATGGGCATCTACTGTGGAAAGTTGGGCATTGAGGAGACCCATAGAACTCCTCTTCAGAATGCCACTCCTTTCCCTAGTTTCATTCTTGGAGAAAGAAGTTTTTTGGTTTTTGTTTTTTATAAAAAGATATTACTTATGTGAACAAGTCATGGGATTTTTCTTTGTATTTTAATTTTCTGTGTCATATATATATATATAAATATTTCACAGTTTTACCTTCAAATACAGTATGTGTGTAGATAGATAGATAGATAGATAGATAGATAGATAGATAGATAGATATACATATCTCCACACATAGCCACAAGCTCCTTGATGTTCTTGATGACTTTTTAGATATACTTTATAAAAGAAATCTTTGTTGGAGCTGGAGAGATGTCTCAGATGTTAAAAGCACTGGCTGCTCTTCCAGAGGACCTGGGTTCAATTCCCAGCATCCACATGGGGACTCACAACCATCTGTAACTCCAGTTCCAGGGGACTTGACGTCCTCTTCTGGCCCCTGTGGGCACTGCACAAATGTGGTACACAGACACACATGCAGGCAAAACACCCACAGACATAATTTTTTTAAAAGTGTGTGTGTGTGTGTGTGTGTGTGTGTGTGTGTGTGTGTGTGTGTGTATTCATGTTGTGAGTGAGACACACACGTGCCGACCATACATGAGGAAATCAGAGGGCAACATCAGGTGTTGGTCCTTGCGATCCACTTTGCTTGAGACAAGGTCTTTCATGTTGTTTGTGGTAGCATATACCTGGCTAGCTGGCCCTCGAGCTTCTGGAGTCTCCACTCTGCCTTCTGCCTTGCTGTAGGACTGTGGGGATTATAGGCTTGCAGTGCTGCATCTAGCTTTCCATGGGTTCTGGAGATCCAAACTCAGATCCTTATACTTAAGTGCCAAGTTCTTTACACACTAATTGGTCTCCCAACTCCCTTTTTAATATTTTATTTATATACTAATTATACACAACAATGGGGTCAAAAATAATACCTTCATGCATGTAGATAATACATTTCTCAGTCACTTTTAAGTGTCTATAGCAGTGGTTCTTAACCTTTGGGTTGCAACCCCTTTGGGATCAATCAACCCTTTCATGGGAGTGGCCTAAGACCATCAGAAAACACAGACATTATGATTCACAACAGTAGCAAAATTACAGCTATGAAGTAGCAACAAAAATAATTTTATGGTTGGGGGTCACCACAAGATGAGGAACCGTATTAAAGGGTCGCATCATTAGGAAGTTTGAGAACTACTGGTCTAGAGCATCACAAATAATTTTTTTTCTGGAGAGAAAGGAGCCAGTGTATGGGGTGAGAGACTACAAGGAGAGAATTAAGTCATGAAATGGGAAACGTTCCCTCTGCCATAGTTTCCCAACTTGTGAATTGCAGCAGTGTGGCCATCACAAGGCAGCCCTTTGTGAGTCATGGTACTAAGTAGTTCTGTTTAATGTGTTTCCTGGGTTCTCTTTCAATGTGCCTTTTTTGTAAAACAAGGAGGCAGACTGGACGTTTGACCCACAAAAACATGCCCCAGAAGCCAGAACCCCCGCAGCTACCTGTGTCCTCCTCTTGAAGTGAGCAGAATTGCCCTGCCCAACCATGACTCTCATCTTCCCTGGGACTGTTTGCCACGGGTTAATTGTTTGCCAGTGATGTCAGCCCTGGTTCTCCAGGAGGCAGTTGGCCACATGTCCAGGTACAGTCTGGTCCCTCTGCAGCAGCCAGGTAGTGATGCAGGAGGGGAGATACTCAGCAGCCTCTCTTCAAGCAGATCCTTGCCATGGCCATCAACTGAGCAGGGAGGTTACTGATTATCATTTTTTTTCCTGCTTTTTCTACTTCATAACAACAGCTCACCATATTCTCATAACCTCCAAAATGGAAAGTTGCTCAGATTACCTAGTTCTCCGAATTCCTAACTAACCTCAGAAAAAGAAGAGAATATGCAGTTCAACAAAGGGTGGGACTGGCAAGATGAGTCAGTGGATAAAGGCGATTGCATTGCAAGCCTTGCAACTGGAACTTGATCCCTGGGGCCCATCTAAAGGGGAAAGGAGAGAGCCAATGCTATAAAATTGTCCTCTGATCTCTACACATGTGCTGGGGCACGTGCACCCCCCACCACACACAAATAATAATCATAATAAATGAATAAAATAGGGCTGGAGTAATGGCTTAACAGTTAAGAACACTTGAGTTCAGCTCCCAGAACCCACGTGATGGCTCAGCATCTGTGCCTCCAGATCCTGAGTTCCAGGGGAACTGACACTTTCTTCTGACTTCCTCAGGCACACACACCGTGTCCATACAAATGTGCATGCAATGAATTCCAATAGATAAAATTAAATAAATCTTGAACAAATGAAAAATAAAACATAAATTTTATTAGCAATGGCTTTTCAATCTTTATTCATTCATTTCCCTTGACAACAGGAAGACATGGTTTAATGAAAAGTTTAAATGTACAAATATATACATATATACTAATTTTATTACATTTTCCTAGTGTGCAGAGGTTTTTTTGTTTTGGTTTTTTGTTGGGGATTTTGTGTGTGTGTGTGTGTGTGTGTGTGTGTGTGTGTGTGTGTGTGTGTGTGTGTGTGTACCACTGTAGTATACATGTAGAGATCAGAGAACATCTATGGAACTGTTTCCTCTTTTCATCATGTGGGTCCTGGTGATCTGAACTCACATCCTTAGGCTGACCAAGAAGTGCCTTTACCCACTGCGCCATCTCCTCCAAATTACCTTTGTCAACTATTTTGCTATAGCAACAAGATGAGTAACTAATGCAGAAAATGAGTATCAATAAGGGAGGCTGTCAGGAGAGAATATGAATTTCAGCCTAGGAACTAATGGTATCTTCTCATCGTCTCTAAGCCACCTAATTTTATTCTATTCTGTTTCATGTTCAACCCTTCTCTGTCCATGAAGAAAGAAAAAATGCACCCTGGGGGTTCCTAGCTAGCACCTCATTCCCATACCACCAATCACTTAGGAATGTGGAGGAGAGGAGAGTGGGTTCTGAACACTGATGGAGTGGTTGTCTACACCATGGCTTCTAAGATGCCCACCATCTTATTTCTTTCATTACACCCCTGGGTCTCCGTAGCCACCCCATGTCTAGATCCTGCTGGCCTCGTGTTTACCTTATGGCATGTGGAAAAAGTATGTTACCTCCTCACTTCTCCCATGGTGAACACCTTCCTTCTTTCTTCTTCTCACTCATTTAAAGCCTAGGCTTGGTTGGACCCTTTGAGGAGGAAGTAAATTATCTGGCAAATAGGCAACTCCTATTCTTTCCTGAAGACAAACTCCCTCCAGACAACAAAAGCAAAGCCATCATCTACTTGAACAAAGAAAACGGTTGCATTGGTATTATAAATACCACCGTGGAAGAGGGAGAGAAATTAAAAGAGGGAGCGATTAACAGCCAAGCGGTGGTCTGGCATGTTCTCTCCTCAATAACTGTAGATCTTCATAAGTGTAATATCTTCTCTATGCCCAGTCCTGGCCCTGTGCCTGCCCGTCCAGGAACAGAAAAAAGGGCCAACTCTGTACTTCTCTCCCAAAAGGGATCTGGTTGGATCCCTCTTACTTAGGAAGGTCATTTTCCTAGCCTCCACTCCCACCCCAGAAGGTAAGGAGCTGGGGTCCTTCTTGACTGTGTTGCCTCCTGGAGATTCTCCCACCTTCTACTCTGGCTTCATTCCGTCCAGTGCTCAGGCAAGTGCTTGCTGAAAGCTCCCGAGGAGGAAATCCTTGCCGGTTCCTGCAAAGTTCTCATCTGTTTTTCCTGCCTGCCTCCCCTTCATTCACTAGACCGCAGTCAGACTGACTGCCTTGCCTTCTCTTGGTCCCACCGTGCGCTCCCCTTCCCTAGGTCACTTCCAAGAGTCTTTCTGCAGAAGACTTGTCCTTGATCACAAACCACCACTCCCTCCTGTCCTCTCTATCACTGCCTTTCATTTCCTTTGTAGCAAGTGTCAAAACCACGCAGTGACCTTGTTTGGGCTTATCTGTTAGTTCTCTTGACAACCCAGTCACAGTTTGAACATGAACTTGAGGGAGACCAGGACCCCATGCTGTATTCATCCCGTATTCTTACCCTCCAACAGCATCTGCACACACAAGGGACTCGGTAAATAGCTGTGAGTGAGAAAATAAACACATTGGAGGAAATTCTTCTCCATCCATGGCATTCATTCCCAAAGACAAGAGAACCCTGCTTTTACCTGAAGAAAAACAAAAAATCATTCCTGTCTGAAAACCCAAGGAAATCACCAGGTTTGGAAATCAAAGACAAAGAACGTACAGGCAAGTTCTACTTTTCGTGTACAGAAAACTTCAGCTCCATGGAAGAAAGGGAAATAGTTATTTTATTGAGAGGCGAGTAAAAGATTGGGTGGGGGTGGGGGACACGCAAAATTGAGAAAACAACAGGAAATGGGAAGCACGAGGCAGAAGACCACGTCTGTGTTTCAAAAAGGTTTTCCCTACACCTGGATGAAGGTGTTGCCGTGGCTGCTGCCGGCCCTGATGGTATTTGACGAGGAAAGCTGCCTTTCACACACAAGGGCTGGCATCAGCTCAATTAGCAGGCCAGCCTGGTTGCTGCTCTTGGACTCTTGTCTAAACAGGACCTGGCCTTCAGGCAACCACAGGGGCGGGGGTGTCTGTGGCTGGCAGCCCAATCCTGCCAGACCAATGACGGGGGGAGGACCCTGCTCCTTCTTAAGCTCCAGCCAGTCAAGCCAGGGCTAGAAAGCCAGACAGACAGCCGCCCCTTGAAGTCTCCACCTGTCCTTACAAATCTGGGGAGAGGAGCCCAGCCCACAGTTAGTGCTTGGGAGCAGAGACCAGCCTGGCCACCTCTGCCACATCACCCAAGACCTGCCAGCATGGCCAACCAGCTGACTGAGGAGCAAATCGCTGAGTTCAAGGAGGCCTTCTCTCTGTTTGACAAGGATGGGGATGGCTGCATCACCACCCAGGAACTGGGCACAGTCATGCGGTCCCTGGGTCAGAACCCCACGGAGGCTGAGCTCCAGGGCATGGTGAATGAAACTGACAAGGATGGAAATGGCACCGTGGACTTCCCCGAGTTTCTGAGCATGATGTCCAGGAAGATGAAAGACACTGACAGCGAGGAGGAGATCCGGGAGGCCTTCCGAGTGTTCGACAAGGATGGCAATGGCTATGTCAGCGCTGCTGAGCTGAGGCACGTGATGACCAGGCTCGGGGAGAAGCTGAGTGATGAGGAGGTGGAGGAAATGATACGGGCAGCAGATATAGACGGTGATGGGCAAGTGAACTATGAGGAGTTTGTCCACATGCTGGTGTCCAAGTGAAGCTGCACCAGAGGCTGCTCTAGCCAGGTGCCCATGAGGCTCCTGGGCTGCAAGCTTTGCTGGACAAAGGCTACCCTCACTGTGGTGAGAATCCTACCCAGGCCTTGGATGTCTTTCTCTGTTTCTCAGCTTCCTCTGGGCTCTGCTGTGTCTCAGGCAAAGTGGACTGTAGCCACTTTCACTTTCTGCCTCTCTTTTCCTGCCAGCTTCCCACCTGCTCCCACCCCCTTGACAGAGATCGCCTCAGGCTGAGACGCGCATCAACTCCTCCCAGGCCTCAAGAGCTGAAGCAGAATGTCCCATCTCTGCACGGACAATGAGCCAAGGACCCATGCTCCCATTTGTTTGTTTCTTCCTTTTTTTGTTTTTGTTTTCTGTTTCCAACAGAAATGATCATTAACTCCATGGTTTAAACCAGGCTGGAATCTCTATTTGTGTGTGTGTGTGTGTGTGTGTGTGTGTGTATGTGTGTGTCAAAAATGAAGAGGTCTTCTTAACCTAGTAATACCTCAGAACCTCCTGGGTAGGGTCCTACCAGGCACCCAATGCTTGGCATCAAGGTGGCCTGTAGCCATCAGTCCACACCATAGTTCCTGGAGCACCTTAGAGCAAAGAAAAGACTTCATCAGCTGTTGGACTGGGAAGATGTCATCTGGACATTGGAATGAAGGGCAGTGATAGAGACTTCAATGACTGAGGTCAGGCCATCTGGAAAACATCAGTTCCCTTCCGTGAAGCTCTGGCTTGTTCCTCTTTCTCTGGGATTCCTTTTATTTGGGGGGGGGGGGGGGGGGGGCGGGGGAGCTGGGTGTAAAGCTGGAGGTCAGTTGTAACATGTTTGTATCCATCTGGAAGGAGAAGGGGAGAAATTTGAATGAAAGAGAGAGGGAATGAATAAGTCACCCATGTTCCTATTTTGTTGCCTTTTCTGCTTCTAACTAAAACACTATTTCCTACAACTGTCATTTTTTGTTTGTTTTGTGTAAACGCAATAAATTCTTGCATTGGTGCATATAGAACAAGTTTGGATAAAAGTCTTCCAGTGTAACGACCAAGTTGGTAGCAAAGAACAATGAGACATCTCAGTAAAGGGCTGGACATAGAGAGAAGGCTGATAGAATGCTTGCCTAACATGCATGAGGCCCTGGGTTCTCAAGAAATACCATGTTAACTGGGCCTAGTGGCATGATGCCAGCATTCAGGCAGTAGAAGCAGCAGGATCAGCAGTTCAAGGTTGTCCTTAGGAGTCAGAGGCCAACCTGTGCTGGAAACGCTAGTTTTAGAAAAAGGAAGAAATATATGTAAAGCTGCTAAAAGGCCTGCGTCAATCACAGCAGAGAAGGATCTCCAGTTATTATTGACTCCTAGTCCCCTATGTCCACTCTGTTGTCAAGTATCCGGTAATTAGAAGGTTTGGAAGGGTTAGAGATTCTAACTGCAAGATGGCTCCAGCCAAGGTGCCATAGCAATTCAGACTGTTAGTCCTGTCCACATCGGCCATGCCCAGAGCTTGGATCAGGTTGTCCAGAGGCTGAGGGGCCTCTTCAGTCAACACTTGAGTGTCAAGGGAAGTAGAAGTTTAATGTTTTGTGAGGTGGACCCTGGACTGGGGCTCATCAAAAAGGTTGCTCTTTCTTGGCCCCCCACCTCCCCCATTGTTTCCTCATTTGTAAAACAGTGAGGGTATGCTCTGCAGTGGGACAGCCTAGGGCTGCAACCCTGCCCTTCTATTATTTCCACGGCTGTGCCCTTCATGACATCGGGACCCACACATTGTCTTTGCTAAGTGACAGTGCTGAGTCTGTATAGGAACTCGCTACCATCCTGTGGGGCAGCCACTGTTCTTGGCTTCTCATCTTACAACTGAGTGCACATCTTAGGCTTGATCTCCTTCTTGGCTGGGCACGACCCCTTTGCCTCCACTGTGACAATAGTGGCCTTTCTCCACATTGGCAAGGATTATAAGAATGGGATTCTCTTCCTTCCTTCTTTTCTTTCTTTCTTTCTTTCTTTCTTTCTTTCTTTCTTTCTTTCTTTCTTTCTCTCTTTCTTTCTTTCTATACTGGTGATTGAACCAGGGCCTTATACACGCTAGGCAAGCACTCTACCACTGAGCTATGTTCTCAGCCCACAAATACTATTTTTAAATTTTGTTGTTCTTCTGTGTGCATGATGTTTATAGGAGAGTACATGTGTCACAGCGCACATGTGGAGGTCAGAGGACAGCTCTATGGACTCACTTCTCTCATTCTCCAGGGATGGAATGCAGGTCGTCAGGACCACAGGGCAAGCCCTTTACTTGCTGAGCCATCTCATCGGCCAATAACAATATTCTCAACACACCTGTCATGGAGTAGGTCCCTAAGTACGAGTGGAGGCCCCTTGATAAACTTAGGTACTGTTACTACCACAGTTAAGGGTCCCTTCTAGCACCAGTAGTCAACAAGGCTTGCCTTCTTCAAAATGCCCCAAGGGACAAAGGCTGAGAAAAGGCGAGAAAAGACTTTCTGGGCCATCTTGCTGAATCTCAGGTAAGAATTCGCGGTGGTACCGGGATCACTGTCAATCCACCCATCGGTAGAGCAGGAGAAAGTTTCAGACTGGGCTGACTAACCTCTAACTTTGCTAAGAGTCAGGTGTGGCTGCACATTTCCATGTAGGGATTTGGGGATGAGTCTCAGAAGTACCAGGGACCCAGCATCCAGAGGTGGCCGGATAGCAGCTCCCTGGAGTCACTGAAACAGGAGAGCTGAGACTGACGTGTGGATATGGATCCCAGAGCCATCTGCCAAAGAAAGCAACATCCCCTGCAGAGGCAAACATAATGCAGATCTCCAAGTATTCTGTCTCCCATGGGAGAAGCAGAGGTCTCCAGGGGTTGTCTTTCTGTGCCCTGTAGATAACCTGGCTGGGGCACTGACATAGAATCCTAACACCCTGCGTTGTAAGTAATGTGAGGTACTTAAAATACGCGCTAAGAGTTCAGCTAGGAGGGGCTCTTTTTACATTTCTGTGCCGGTTCCTGGCAAGGCAGCTAAAGCAACCCTTCTATTTGTGATCCACGCACCGCCCTGAAACTACTCATGCTTACGTTTTTCAGGCCTGGGAGCCTTTCATGTAGAACTCTTTTGCTAGGGCAGGAGCTGGCAGGTAAAATAGAAAGGCCCCTGCTTGCTCTCAGCCAAGAACTGACAGGCCCGGAGCTTCCCAGCAGGCGGATCACTCAGAAGCAGAGTGGTAATTAAAATTGTGGGGGGGGGAGGGGCAGGGGGGTGTTGCTTCCTCCTGTCCTGGAAGCTCTGAGGCATCAAGGTCAAAGCCAGCTAGCCCTATGACAAGCTGGCTGTGCCTGGTCCTGCCCGATTCATATTTACTTTCCCAAATACAATGTACTAAAACTGTTTTTGCAGCCTCCTTACTTGGAGACTCAGGGTTATTTAGCAGTGAGCACCTGCTGCTTGGGCCTATGGCTGGCCCCGCTTTCTAACCTGTTCAGTTTAGAGTGAGAAATAGTGTTGTATCTACATTTCCTGGGGAGAGGTGACCAAAGTCTACTCACTCCAAATAGAGCACCAATGACAGACCGATTAACAATTTCACCCAAGTCTGGCTTGGTGAACCAATGAGGTTATTGGACTGATAGGAGCATGGGTGAGGGATTACTTAAAGGAGCATGCGTGACCCCAAACCTTTCAGGCACATCTCTGAAAAGTTGCGTCCCAGCATAGATAACATTTCCCCTTAGCTACATACACAGAGGTCCTCCTTCTATATACTCCAGCACCTCCTAGGACTATGTGCCGTGAGACAGAATTACATACAGCTAGGAGACGGATGCAAGAAGGAGTTGCTGAGATTTCAGATGAGGGTCTATTGACACCCCTGCACCCCTACACACACACACACACACACACACACACACACACACACACACACACACACACACACTTCAATGAGAAACACCACCGGATCCAGTCTTGAAGGTTTCTTGCAGACACCAACAGCCGCTGTGATCATCTTGATGGCTGTTCTACTCAGAGGACACAATTCCACAGCAGATAGACAAAGCCCAGGCTGCTGCTCTGGTCTGTCCCTCACTGAAAGAGCCCTGATAGCTTGTGACTCCCCTGAACTGTCTGGTGGATCCCAAGCCTCTTACCAGGCCTGGTAATGCTAATCTCTACAGCTAGGCATCAGCTACTCTGACTCAGTTTATCCAGAACAATGTACCCATAACACAGTAACCTTAGCATCTAAGGCACCCAAGGTCCATCATCATCCTTCTCCTCACTTCCACAACTTCATCTTCTTTTCCCCTCTTCCTCCCCACCATGGCTAGGACCCCCAAAGAATCCTGTCTAATTACACATAGCAATGAGGGGAATGCTGTTTGTTGTTTGTTTAAGGAAACAAGACAACACAGTTCTTTTTACTTATTTTACTGCAGTGTGATCAGCAAATTGAGAGTAGGATTTTGCCCACTGAGTAAAGGCAAAGAGAGGTCAGTGTCTGGAGCAACAGGAAGGAGCCACCAAATGTTGCTAGCATGCAAGGAGCAAGAGAGGGCTCGGTCCTGTTTCTTCTTTACAGGCTCTGAAGCAGGTGCCGTGCCTCTGACATCCCCCTTTCCTTTCAGACATTGAATAATCAGATTTAAACAACCTCCCTTCACCCCCCAAAAAAGGTGCTATATAACTCCAGCTTGGCAGAACATTCCATCTATCTTTGGAGGAAAGAATTTATAAATATTACCTCGACTTTCATGTGCTTTCACTGAGCTCCCTCATAAATCAGGACTCGAGGCTCCCACACTCCCAGATATATAAAGCTCGCCTCTGACTGCTGGGTTTCCAATTTTAAATCAAACACAGGCCAGCCTCTCTGGCTCCTGTTTATCCTTACAGATTCCAGAGGCCAGTTCAAAGACTCTAAGAACCAGCTAGCTAAAAATGGCCCATTGTTCCTGCTAGAGAAATATAACACGAAAACTCACATACTGGATGAAAGAGTTCTATGTAGAATGAAGCAATGGATGAAAATGATGTCTTGTTTGTTTGTTTGTTTTAAGGAAGGGAGAGGTGGGGGGAGGGAGGTAGAAAAGAGAGAAGAAAGGCAAAATAAAACAATACAAAATTTAAAACTGTTTCTGAGAAAGGTTTGGAACCCAACCCACATGTCAACCTCTCCATCATTCTGCTTTTCTGATGATTGTTTCCAGAGCAAGTCCTCAGCAAGGACTCTGAACTGGACAAGGGAAGGCAGGGGGTTGATCACGGAGCCTGGGAAACTCCTCTAATCCACTCTGTAATGAAGTACAAGTCTGGTTGACAGGTTCTGGGTGTGGGATAGGCTAGCTCAGCTCCTGCATGGAAGAGAAGGGCCTTGAAGTGGGCCTAGGAATGATGACAGAACTTCCATATCAGAAGAAATAATATGGAAACAATCAACGGTTCCTATACACCCTCACCAGATCCTTCACTTCTTCCTAGATCACTTAGTACTGCCCACTTAAGCGAAGGAGCTGAGTGTTATACACATAAGTGTCTGAAAATTAAATATGAGGTAGGCCCGGGGTGTTTTACAGCCCAGGCTGCACACCAGAGGGGCTGGTTGTCTAGGGATGGGCTGTGGAAATCCGACCATGTGTAGCTGTACCAGTCCACAGGAGACACTCACCTCCCATAGTCACTAATGTCATT